AGAAAATTCGGGCAGATTTATGAGAAAATATGTTAAAATCAGGTTATTTCTTTACAATTCTCCACAAAAATTCAGGCAAACTTTCAACTGCCCCCCCCCCCAGAAAACATCAGCCCCGTTCTCCTATGCGTATTGATGGATTTCGAAGCCTCGCACGACGTAGAAAAAGTAATTCATTAATATAGAATAAAGATTTGTATGTTCTAAGACTCTAAAAAGGTTTAAATGTAGTATATTGCTCACAGGCTGTCAGAGAGTTTTTGTAGTACATGAAAGTGCATGTTTGCCATGTTGTTTATACGTCTGTAGTCTATGTGTTTTGCAAATTTAATACGTCAATTGTACACCTGTTTTCAACAGGGAAATATAAAATACTTAGGGTTCTTAGGGGAGCTGGTGGATTCTAAAATTCAAACAGCATAATAAAAATGACCCTCCCTTTTAATGTGTTTAAAAATGTAGTCCACCCCTTTAGAACAGTCTGAAAATTTTTCATCCCCCTCCAACATTAAAGTTAAGAAGAACATAGTATGGCCGTATGGTAGTTCTTCCCATCCTATTCTTTTGTGTGCTCTTTACAACCAGGGGCGTAGAGAGGACCTTCAACTTGGGGATGCTGGACAGGATTTAGCCAACGGGGGGGGGGGAGGGCGTGAAATAAAAATCCAAATCCACAATATAATTGTGTATAACCTTGTCTAAGTAAGTAGATATGGCCCCAAGAAGAAAGGGTTTACTTTAGGTTTTTAAATGTAAAATATCAGTTACTTTCAATCATTCGGTTTTAAAAGTAATTTGCGTTATTTTAACCCATCATTTTCCATCACGAAAAATCATGTCTTTTATGCATTATACAGTCTTCGGACTTATGCAAACTCACACCCCGAAAATGCAGGAAATCGCATTTCAAAATATTCTGGGGGGCATGCCCCCAGACCTCCCCTAAAATGGCTCACGCCTTTTTACGCTGGCTACGCCACTGTCTCTATACCATCTTCTAATCTTCTTTATATCAATGCTATAAAATTTTATTGTCTCCCCAAAACACTTCTTCAAAAGATTTAAACACAGGGAGCCCAAGCGTTGATCTGTGTTTTAATTGAATTATTTCACTATATTACACTAATGTCATATAATGATAATAATACTCCTATAGTCGAACATATAATAACAACATAAAGTTGATTTGTATTTGTATGGCTTGTATGTTTTTCAGTTTATTTAAGATCTATTATTAGCTTATATAAAAGCACCGCCTTTCGAACATGACAGCCCGCTCGCAGGATACGCGTGTTGGAGACGCGCGGGATTTGGTGCTTTTATATAAGCTAATAATAGATCTTAAATAAACTGAAAAACATACAAGCCATACAAATCAACTTTATGTTGTTATTATATGTTCGACTATAGGAGTATTATTATCATTATATGACATATTAGTGTAATGTAGTGAAATAATTCAATTAAAACACAGATCAACGCTTGGGCTCTCTGTGCATCATGCGAGGCTTCAAAGTTTTCTGGGGGGGGGGCAGTTGAAAGTTTGCCCGAATTTTTATGGAGAATTGTAAAGAAATAACCTGATTTTAACATATTTTCTCATAAATCTGCCCGAATTTTCTTGATTTTTCCTAGCGTTTGCCCGAATTTCCATGGTTTTCCAAAATTGGGGGGGGGGGCAGTTGCCCCCCCCCGCCCCCTGTCTCGTACGCCTATGTCAATAAGGCATTTACAACATGAACATAATACGAAGCCAAAGTGAAAGTATTTAAGTGAAAGAAACTTTAAAGAAAGCGTGCTAATTCTCGTATTTTACTCGTATGTATTCGTATTTTACTCGTATGTACTCGTATTTACTCGTATGTTACTTGTGTGTACTCGTATGTTACTCGTATGTTACTCGTGTGTTACTCGTATGTTACTCATATGTACTCGTATGTTCTTGTGTGTTACTTGTGTGTTACTCGTATGTACTCGTGTGGTGTTTTAGTCACGATCCACCCATGACTTTTCTGTTTACTTGCACGAATTTTTTTTCTCTGACGTAATGGCTGCACGAATTTTTTTTCCAGGCATTTTTCTTTGCACGAATTTTTTTGGGGGAATTTTCACCCCCCCCCTCCCGGGATTTCTAATGGTCCGCCCCTTAGCTGTGAAACGTGATTTAAACTGAAAAAATATTACCGATAAGTGAAAACCCTTTAAAAACTTACCATTAAGTCAGGCAGTTCTTTCATTCAAGCGTTGTCTCTTTATCCATGGTCGAATTTCCAGTACAGCGATGTAGCGAAATTTCCGGCCGTCTTTCACAACAAATAACATCACAATATAAAGTCAATATAACTGTACGTATTTTCCTCTTTACCACAGAATCGTTTTCCCTGTCCATTAAATTATAATTTACAAAACTAACCAGTTGTTATAACGTAAAATAAGCGGGTATTTGTGAACAAAAATGCCCTTTCAATCACACGAAGTAAACCGGCGCCATCTTGTCTTCTCCAAACATTACAAATTTTCCCGCCAAAAATTCTGTGCGTAGGCGAAGAAGTCCCGTATGAAGCTGACGTCACAGGTATCCATTGGGCATGCGCACTTTATTTAGTGGTCAAATATTTCGAAAATAGGCTCGAAAATAGGCACTAAATCCAATTTTAATCTCTTTATTTTCGCTTTCCACATATTGTTCGACCCAACTACGATTGCAACACAACAATTTTTGCCCGCTAGACGTTTTAAAATCAACAAAAATATTAAATATGAAGTATTATTTCATAATTTATAAAAATATACTCTTCGGCCCAACATCGGGAAAATCCGAAGTTGTGTACAATGTTCAGACATTACTTCATGTAACCAAGCTTGTTCTGGCTCAAACAACATGGCCGCTCAAATTTTCAAAAAAATCATGTAAATTAGGACATTGGCCATAATACTCGATGTAATATTAAAGTGCAAGACTCACAATATCAATTAATATATTCCTTGAATATTTTACAAGCTAACGGTTTTTAATAATAAATAAAATACCAAACATTTTGCTTATTTTGCCTGGTAATATTCCAGTGACATTATAAGATCAGTAATTACTGAAAGTTTAACCTACATTGATACTTTAGGGAAAGTACATTTATTATGCCGAGGGGGGGATGAAGATGTTAAGGGGGGCTCCGAAATATTTTCTGGCATTAAAGGGGGGGCTCTGAAAGTTCTTGATATACTGAAGGGGGGGCTCTAAACTTTTCAAAGGTTTGACCCAGCAAATTAAAGTTAAAATTTTTACATCAGTTTCAGGTAAAATTTGCGTAATAAAGTAATTATTTTTGTGAAATGATAACCATTTTTGTAAAATACAGTCAATTTACATGCAATTTGTTTGCGAAATTTGCTTTAGAAAACGCCAGAAATTCAGTCCTAGAGCTTCGAAAATGTAAACATTTTCTGGGGGTGGACCCCCAGACCCCCCTTTTCTCCCAAAACTTAGTATAAGAGTGCCAATCAATCACAAAAAGCTTTATTATAATTATTACTCGTATAATCCTCTGACATCCCCCCACCCCAAACGTCAGATGCTTTGCTACGTCCCTGATGGTTGTATTCGAAACCGATTTCAGTTTTAAGATATCCTTAGTCTGCTCTTCTAAATGGATACATGAAATCACCTATAGCTTATTTTAAATTTTTTTGCGCCAGGTTTGTGAAGTAATTTACGCGTCAAAAAGCAAAAAAGCATATACAATTTGCAAGAATGATATGTTCTATGTTTATGGGATATTTCGTACAAATGGGATGGAAATTAAAGAAATTGAAGCATACTGGCACTTTTGCATGCATTTTTGACAGGCATGCAAAGACATTTGCAACAGATGCCGGGAGATACGTTGGGTGGGGGCAACATACTCTAAGGTTCCAGCACATTACCCAGATCCAGGAAATCCTGGCCACTACATGAACGTGTTCAAGACTCCGAATACGCTGAATGATGGACAACAACAACCTGTTGATAATTCCACCCCTAGAGCCAATTTAAAATGTTTTAAAGACGGTGCCATTTCATCTGGCGCTAATGAGATGAAAGAAGCAGCAGATCGGTAGTTTTGTTGAGGAGAAGCACTTGAGTATATCAGACATCTTGAGGAACTGCAAATTGTATCTATGATAAGAGAGAATTCCGGATTGTACTCCTTCGATTCCGAATTCTAGAGAGGGGGGGCATTGAAAATTTTAAAAACTTGGAGGGGGGGCATTAAAATTTACCGATAACCTCAACAGGGGCCCTGTAAAAATATGAGCTTTTTTCAAGACATCTTCATCCCCCTCCCTCAGTGTAATAAATGTACTTTCCCTTAATTAAAAGCTTGAAAAATCTTGAGCACATGTGGATGCGTGAGCAATACAAAATTTTGTTTTGACCGCTCCCCTCACTTAACAAGCGTTCTTGAAGCTTTTAATTATTCCCCCGGATTACGACATCTTTACAGACAGACAGACAGACGAACACCAGATCGAGATGTCGACTATATATAGGTCGCGCGAAAGACTGGGTCGAGTGGACTCTGGAGCAACCACCACGTGTCAAGAATAGTGTGCTGCCTCGATACGCTCGGCATGCCAGCAATTAACAATGGAATAACATGCATATACCTCCTGAACAAAAATGTTTGGCACTGTATTAATATCGTATTCATAGTTTGAAGAAGCAGCACTTTTAATATAGACAATACAAATTTTTGTTGCCATTGTCCTTTAATGCATATTTATTTCACAATAACACACTTCTTTCTGGGTGGCAAAATACAATACCAAGCAACATCTATAGCTTTTGGAGGTTGCAAATAAAGCTTGCTTAATTTTGAACTATTTTAATTTGACTTATTCATAGAATTATTAGCAAGTGTATAATTATCAATCTCAATTATTCCTGTAGGGCGTATAAAAAACTGCAACCTTACAATTCGTATAACAACCACTGCTAATTAGCATTTCACCGCCAGTGCAACTTACGCTCCTGGGATTTGAAAATACGTTCTAATTGTCCACGTTATACAGGGTGTCCCCCCAAAAACGAAAACTATTGAAATCACGTATTGTTAAAATTGAATGCCCTACCAAAAGCTGAACGTAATGATGCGTAAAATATTGACATGGTGCATGTATTAAAATTTTAAGAACATCTCCGTGTAAAGTGCGCGATTTTTTGCTCTTGGGAATCTAAAGCAGCTTTCTAAATAGTTTCTTTATGCATAAAATTTACTTACGTCAATCATTTATGCACTCGTGGGAACCAACAGAGTGCTATGGCATTCAAATTCTAACAATTAAATTGTTATTGGTGATTTCAATAGTTTTCGTTTTTTGGGACACCCTGTACAGTACATCATAATTCTTTTTATTGTGTTTACGCACCCTTGAGAACAATTAGTGCTGAATCACGATATACCCTGTATAAAACTTCAAAATCTTATTAATAAAATTATCATAATCATATAATTTCCAAGAGATCGACACAGGCCCCACAATTATCACTACGTCTATGCGTGAAAGCTGAAACTTAGTTAAATATTTGACTATTTATGACATGTATCCATCACAAAGTTGCGTGTAGCTCGAGGTTTGCTCTCTAAGGGCGTTTCAAATGCGCTGTTAACATAAGTAGTAGCAAGAGGTTTGACAGTATTACTCATTTTTTTCTTCTTGCAGATGCAGTAGCAACACGACCCCAGAGTTACCATAACAAAGAGCATGGCAAGGAGAGGTAATCCAACATAAGAAAGATAAAACGTCACGGTTTTTCTGTCATCTGTATAAGAAAGTAAATAATGTTTGCATTATTAAAAGACGAAACTGAAATAGAACAGACAGGACATTATGGTTGATATTAAATGAACAGAGACAATAGCTCAGTGGCATTCCAGTGTGTCCAGGGGGCATCAATGAATAGAATGACATATAGATGGGGAGAAGATTTGTTTAGTTGCGGAGGTGCTAAACAGACTTTCGGTTGGATAATTTTGTAACATGGCCTCCGAAATGGCCTTTTCAACGTTCCGAGAAAGATTCAACATGCCGAAACCTCAACAGTTCAATATCTTAATCACCCGCAATAGCCATTTCAAGCCACGTAAGGGGAATCAAGCTTGTGTTTGGAGAGGATTAACCCCTCCCCTTTATTCTGCTTTTCAAAGGATTGGGAATGTTTCACCTCCCTCAGTACACCTTTTCCGCTACCTGTAATGCACACCCTCACACCGCGCTGCTTATATAAACACTTAACCTGCCTCAAACCAAGACGACCCACGTACATGGAAGACAACATGTGTCAAATGTAATTGTGTTCGTAGTCTGTTAAGTTGGTCCCCCATTCTTGTTGTTTCTGAACCTCGTGCAAGTGATTATTTGTATTTTGGCTAAAGCAGGGCCTTTCCATATCAGGTAATTCCAGATGGCGGCGGTTAACAGGCATCTTTCAGGTTATTTTCAAACTGGATTGTGTGTAAATTTCAGTCAACGTGTTTTTTGTTGGGGTTTTTGGGATTTTTTTTTTATATTCTTATTATTCTGTATGACGTAACTGTCTGATTGATTGATCTCATGGTTGATTGATTGATTGAACGCGTCAATTGAACAGTTCGTTAACAGATTGATTGATTGATTGATTGATTTAATTACTCAGAATTTATCGAATATATTCGCGGTAATTGGCCGTAGCTGTTGCGGAAATCCTACCTTGATTCATGCGAATACGTCATTTGACGGATTTTTTTTAATAATGTTGTACCAAGGCAAAGTTAGATAAATTAAACTAAACATCTCCACCTACTGGGCGTGGGACAGTAGGTGGTTGGATTCGCACATACAAAATTTTCCACAGAGGACGAGAACTGCATTAGCCTATTATTCACGTAATTTTACTTGTAAGAATGCAAGAAGAAACTATACATGTGAAAATAATTTATATCCATGCACCATAGATTTTATTCGTGAACACCGATTTTAAGACAACTCCAGGTCAATAGTGATAGTGTTAATTAAATATTGATGAATTTTTCAGAATTTAAAATATTTTATATTCTTTATAAAGCATCACATGACTTAGATTGGTTGATAAATTTATAGTTGATAAAACATTACATACTGTTCTGATAGTAAATTGGGTTGTGAAAGAAAATTTTGATTGCATTGCATGCATGATGTGGCGTAAATTGTTTGGCTCTATGGAGAAGGTATTCAAGTGTTCATTAATTTTCCTTATTAAACGAATAGCAAAGGTATCTAAGAGCATTAATCTCCGAGCCGACGGCGCGAAGCGCCGTGCGAGGGTACTAATTCCCCCCGGCTATTTACCCCCAGGGGAAACGAAAGCATTAGCGAACTCTAAAGTTCATCAATGAGCGCGGGCGTCGGTCACCAACGATGGGTGGTCATCCTCGCTGATCTTAAAAATATGGCGGACTGTCATGAATAACGGACACTAATTGGTCCAATTTAAAGTTTGCATTATAACGACTGCATGACGACAGCGAAATAGCAAACATTTCTTGATTTGATGATTGATAAATTTCTTGCAAATATATTTCATTTTTGCTCGTATTTCTGCAAGATTTTATAAATTTCAAGAAAGAAAAGGCGAAAGAATCGGCTAAAAGAAGGGAGCCGACGTTAACGTACAAAAAAAAGTATGTTTGTTTTAAATATTGATTTTATAATGGCTTTAAAACCCGACGGCTTTGCGTATATGAAACAACTAAACAAGACAGCATATAATTTCAATGTATCTTTAATATTGATTCCCTTTTTATTATATTGAATTTTTTAAATAAAAAATAGGCAAAGTTATTCGCAAGCGAGAATTTGAAATAAGTTTATTTCAAATTCAAAGTTTATTGATAAAGCCATTTAATAGCTAAAGGCAAGCTAAAGGCAGTTTAGTTTTATAAAGAACACTTTGGAACGTTTTGTGAATTGTTTGTGGTTGAATTTTACCTTAAATTGAAGCTTGTATGACGTATAATTACATACCTAACATATATATGTTCGGAAATTGATAATTTTGTAATTAAAGTGATATTTTTAGGCGATTTTCATTTGTAAGAATGTTCTTAAAAAATTATCTTGTTACCATGACAACTACTTTAGATACTTCATGTTCGGAAAATACAATGGTTTTGCCAGTAAGATGAGGGTTTCTGCATGCATGTATTTTCTAGTGTTAGTATCTAATGAGCCTCAAGATTTATACAACGTTATAATTCGACTCAAAGATAGATTTCAAAGTTTCGGCCTTTGCAAAACGCTTTCATAACAATCGTGTCACTCAGTTACGAATTAATGACGGGAATGTACGATTGTCTTCTCACTGTTTTGAAAATCCCATTGTTCTCCATGCATGCAGGGGTTCAAAATTCATCCACGTATATTATAGCTTCTATTTAGCCTATAGCGCCTATAAATCATCTTGTGTACATTACGATAACTTTTGTTCGGTGTTTTACAAGACGTAGTTTTCGTTTATTTTATACTTATATACGTAGAACCTACCATCACCATCATTATCTTCATCATCATCATCGTCATCGCCATCATCGTCACAGTTAGTGCACATGCACTTCTCATATTGAACACTTTCGCCTAAATGACTGCATTCGCCTTTTTCAGAGCAGGTTCTATTTCTTGTTTTTATTTCATCATCACCTCTTTTAAAGCAAGTATTCCACTCACTCCACGGATGATAGAAACCTATGTGATTGAAAATGCATGAAAATCTACGGATTAAACATTTCTAAAAATTGATAATTCTTCAATAACAGTAAACATCTCATTTAGGATCAATTCTCCGAATTACATTGTGTCGTTTACACTATAGATTTCATGTACCTCCCTACTCTTCATTGACGATAATTTAAAAAATTAGAGATATAGATGAATAAAATCCACTATGGAAAAGGGGCGAGCTAGGAATTCGCGGATAAGAAAGGTGCGAAGTTTCTATTATTGCTTAATTTAAACTATAATTATTTGCTTTAAGCGATTTCTGACCCATGTTTCAACCCAATTATACGGTATATGCAACCACAGGTACCAAGCAATAATCGCTTGGAATGTTATTGTGTACACTGATACATCAACAAGGCTCTAGCTATACGTACCACAGGTTTTATTATTTACCAAACCAGGCCTCATATATCCTTGACAATCTGTACATGTTGAATTATCACCATCACAAACACCACAAAAGTCCGTTTTCTTAGGACTGTCCTGAACACCATCACAACCGAAAAAAATCGGTTCTGCAACTGGAAATGTAAGGAACAAAAACAAAGTAGTCTTACATGGTTACATATATCTATAGTCTATTCTTGCATTGCAAAAAGTAAACAGTAGCTTAAAGTGCATATGACATGAAGTTTCTTATTTTCTTAAACGAAAGAACTCTTTAAGGTGTAGTGTAACTTATTTTTCAGTTTGATGTTTTCATGGTTTGTTCCCGAGATATTTCAATTTGTTTGATATGTAAATGAGTGTGAATATGTCCGCTAATTTATGACGTCACTTTGGTTGCAAGCTCAACTTACACTGGTTATAAGTCAATTAAATCTAAAAACTGTACATATTTATTCACGTTTTTCAACAGTGTTTCATCACATTTATCAGTGAGCGAAGTTTGAAATTATCATCTTGGATGATAGCAGTGATATTCAACCATTTTAAAGAGCTTGCAACCAACATGACGTCATAAATTAGCGGACATATTCACACTCATTTACACATCAAACAAATTGAAATATCTCGGGAACAAACCATAAAAACAAGAAACTGAAAATTAAGTTACACTACAGCTTAAAGAGTTCTTTCATTTAAGAAAATAAGAAATTTCGTGTCATATGCACTTTAATAAGGTAGCAAAAGCACCTTTTACCCTTTAGGGATGAATTGAAGAGGAAACTGTTAACTATAATTTAAGTTAAATTTTTAGTTCTAGTTAAAAATTGAGCAGCCGATCTTTATCAGTATATGACTTATCTAATGAGTTCATTGGCGAAGTAATTTTAAAAAGAAACATTGTTTATTGAGCCGAGATTCAAAGCTGAAATTTATGTAAATCAGGACAAACCTGTATCCGATTCTTAACATTGATTATTGATTATTAATGCGTTTTTTTAAGTTATGATAACGTTCAAGATAACGTGTTTGATATTAACATTTCATGCCAACTAATGAATTCATAAATTTACTATTCTTGACACAAGTATACTTCAATTTTTATATATACAGTCTATCAATGACTACGAACCTAAAAGGAAAACTAAACTAAACATCCTAACTAAAAAGACGTGTTCAGCTTTTGTGAATAGTTCTTCAGGGGCCGGTTGTATCAAAGGCGTTTAACTCGCTAACCACCGTTTAACTCGCTATCCGCCGGATAAAATTTAAACGTTCGAGAAATCGCGTTGTATCAAGCCCGTTTAGGGCTATCCACCGGTTAAATTTGCCTATCCACCGTGTAAACTTATACGGTCTCTTGAGACCGTTTATATCGCTATACGGCGGGTAAACTCGGAGTTTGAAGATAAAACAATCATTATTTCGGATGAAAAAGCATGGGATAGTTATAAAAATGCACAATCATGTGGAGGAGTTGTCTTTTTAAATCCAATAAACATGAAAAACTCACTTTTAACTGGCTTGGTCTTGAGCTACACTGAGGTCACTTGCTCACTTGTTATTCCGTGGCTTTGGGTGTCATGTTTAGATGTTAAGTATATATACTCTGGCTTTTTCTTCTTTTTTCTTCTATTATATAGTTTGAAAACAAGCAATAAGACTCCCAATTTTAGCTATTGTAAAACAAACAATGACTTTGGAAAGCCAACAAGTATACAAAATAGACAACAAGACGCCGAAAGTCGAAAAAAATTGTTCGCTCGCGCTAATCGCTTTGATCAGCCAATCAAAACTTGGGACAAAATGTTCTTAAAATTGTTTTGAACAAAAGTGCAAGGTCGAGGAACAAATTTCAAACAGTATAAAACTGAATCAACTGACAAAAGCCAAATAGAACTCACAGTTTTTGCTATTGCCTTCGACTCTTCGCATAAAGAAGCCAAAAATCTTTAAAGAAATATCCGTAAGTGAATTTAAGTGAATGAGAAACTCAGCACAATGTGAAAATGAAAAGTTTGATATAGATTTGCAGCAACGAATGGAGGAGCAAACTCCAAATAAAAACAACAACAAACTTTATTGCAAAAGCTTAGTGGAATTCACAAGTTAGATAAAGCTTCAAAAGTTTACAAAGGCCTAGCAACAGCTGACGTAGAGGTAGGAAATTTCAAGAAAATCCGGTTTTCTCCGGTTAAATTAAAGGTTATCCTACGGATAGTTAAACGCGGTACTAAACGGGCTTCGTACAACGCAATTTTATCGGCCGTTTAACTATCCGCTGGATAAGAAATTTATACGCTGGATAGCGGCTAAACACCGTTTAAGTTAAACGCCTTTGATACAACCGGCCCCAGAACGTTAAAAGGCCTACTCTGGGGCGGTAAATCGCCTAAAATCGCCCAAAATCGCATAAAATCGCATTAAATCGCGGGTTAAAATGGTCAAATTTCTCTTAAATCGCCTAAAATCGCTTTAAATCGCATAAAATCGCTTTAAATCATGGGCGTACTGGGTGGGGGTGGGGACGGGCGACCGCCCCCCAGTTTCTGGCTGGGCGGTCGCCCCCTGGCTTTGTTGGGCAAACAAAGCCAGCCGGGCAATATTCGCTTCACAGTCGGGCAATATTGGTTTATTATCGAAATAAATGGGACAAATTCTGTCAATTTTGTGGGAAATTCTGTCAATTATGTGGGAAATATGCTATCTAATAGGAATTGTTTGTAATCACTTCTCCCCCCCCCCCAATCACTTCTTTCCAACCCCCTAATATTTTCCTTCCCGTACGCCCATGCTTAAAATCACATTAACTCGCCAACATGCATTCTGTTTGATACATTCAGTCAATAATGTACTCAAGTTTATCAATTGCTGCTATTTTGCTGGCTAATCATGTATAATCCAGGTGTTTTGCAATCAAAAGTAATGCAACATGGATAAATCAAATAAGTGGATTAGGCTGACAATATTTAGTCACTCAGTAGGCTCCGGTCGTTAATAAAAACAGAGCTTTTTTCTGCTTTATGCAGACTTTACAATAATTAGGCAATTCTGGGATATGAAAGACCCATAGATTCCATTACACTACCAGCAACAAAAATGAGTTACTGGTTAATTCGAGGGTTAATTTCATTATTGGTGTAAAATGTGGAGGCTGGGCTACAATTTATATGGACTATGGTGGCTGGGCTACAAATTAATCTATAATATACATGGCTTCTCAAAGCCTAATTGCTGTTAGAACAACAGTAGGAGACTATGATAATGAGAGTCAATGAGTACGAGTATATAATAAGGTCATCCTGCAATTTGTGCACTGTTGCATGTAGATCGAGCACTGCATTGTATACAATGGTTGTACTTCGACATGTGCATGGTTATACTCTTGCTCCTATAGTTATAATTATATTGGCTATTATACAAAAAACATACGTGAGGTTTAATATGAGCGAGATTTGCAAGTTTTGCAACTCTCATCTATTAAATTTTCCAGACCTGTATATAAAATAAACAGTAAAACAATGATTACATCGTACATACCATACAATCTTTGTTGTTGGTTGTTTGCAGAACACTTGACAAATTATCAGGTAAAAGACTTAAAACCACGATGTAGTGCGCAGTGTGCCATTTGTTTAATATCATTTTGTTTAGTATGTTTTTTAAATAATTTAGAATTCCGACCATTTATATGCGATGTACTTCATGTAAATTAAACTTTACGGCATTACGCCGACAGTTTCCAAATGCGTGACAATACTGTTTCAAACTGTTTCTGGATATAGATATCAAACATAATTTTATAAAACATGTTTGTTGAAACAGTTTAAATAAAATGCAAGCTAAATAAAGAAGTGTTGACAAGATACAAAACAAGACAATTTCACTTACAAGGGTGACAAGGTAATTTATAGGAATATAGCTTATTGCCAGACTGGAAAGTTTGTATTGCGCAACCTAGATCTAGGTTGCGCAATTTCGGACTAAAAACGCGTTGAAACGCGCAAATTTTAAGAATTTAGCTATCCGCCGCGCATGTAATAATATTGTGCAATGACCGCCGCGCAAACGCGCGGAAAAGCGAGAAAGAAAGCACAAGAAGTAAGAAAACGCGAGAAGCAAGAATGCGCGAGAACACGCGTTGGAGCGCACGTGCATCGCGTGACGTTTGCAAGATCGAGTTTCAAATGCAAATTTCAATGCGCTGGCAGCGGTAGCGCCTGTGGCGCAACGCATTAAGTTACAGCTTACTTCCGATTTGGTGGCTTAACCAATACGAATATGGCAAATTGTTATTTTTGCGGTATCGCGTTCTTTTGCTCGGAGTTTTCAAGGCGAACAACGTCGGTATTCGAAGTTACACGCTCATATTGTCTATTGAGTACTTTTCCTGTGGAATTCTGTGGAACGTCTTGTCATTCTCGAGAGTTGATTTTAAGAGGTGAGTGTATGTAGTGTTCCTAGTTGAAGTATCTGTATTTCTGTTGCGCTTATGGAAATTTATATCGCGTAATCGCTTCTCAACAGAGTTACAAACCGGGCCTTTGGCCGCGTTCGGTTTGTCGAAATTATTAGCTTTATGAAGTCTTTTAAATAACGTTTTAGTTCGATACTATAAAATGTTTATTGATTGAAACATGCGTTTTAGTTTCACACCAATTCACTCACGTCTCATGGTAAATATAAAGATGGCAGAGATCCAGACAGTTAAACGAGGTAAGGCTGGTAATAAGGTGATTGACGTAAATAGCGTAAACTGCGTAATAGCTTAATAAGCGACCCACATATGTACTATTTAAAGCACGCGTAGGAGTGTTTTATCATAAAACACGACGCATAGCGGAGTGTTTTATATGTGATAAAACTTTTATATGTAATAAAACACGACTACAAGTGCTTTAAATGGCTTAAACTACTCATCTTATTATCTTATACGAGTTCATTGGCGATTTGGCCAAGTAATTTTTAAAATAAACGTTGTCTAAATCGAGAAAATCAAAGCTAAAGTCTATGTAAATTAACATGATTTTTTATCACATAAAAAACCACGACACGCTTATGATTTTTTATTGTGTATTGCTCCTGAATTATTAATGACTTTTTATTTATAAATATATTTATAATTTATTTTTGT